CCCCCAGGGAGCGAAGATTTGTGCTGGAGACACCGCACAGCAGCCACGTTCACCACCTGCGCCCTCTGCCATCCACCCGTCTGCTCCGGCTTTATTTAAGCCCCCACCACGGAAGAAGACAGCTGCTCCCAGAAGGCTCCGGCCCCCACCTCAGCTGCTGTTTACTCAGCGGGTGTTCAGGAACTTGCGAAATGGGAAGTTGGGGGAAATTCCCCTCCTGGTCCCCTCCTGCAGTTATTGCTTCCTCGGGCCTTTGCGGTGAACGGTCGCGGGTCACCCTAGCAAGCTGGTGTGAGCGGCCTTACATCTTCTTGAGTCAATGAGCCGCAACCCTACTCTCAGCCCTGCTGCTCTAACCACTAGACATCACTCCCCACCCAGAGCTGGAACAGAACCCAGGAGTCCTGACTCCCAGTCTCCTACTTATACCAGTAAACGTGGGAAAAGCTGGCCACTTGGACGGGGGCTCTTGTGACCTCCGGATGCTTCAGACCAAAACCTTGTGCAATCTTGGCCCCTCAGGCAGATTCCTTCTTCATTCCCACTGGTGACCAGCTCCAAGCTGGAAGAGTGAGGCTGGAGAACCCCTGGGTTGTTGCTGGTTTGGACACACCCTCCCTGTGTGTGCATGAGCAGATCACTGAACCTCTCTGGGCCTCAGTTTCCCATCTGTGAAATGGGAAGAATAATTGTTCCTCTGCCTTGTCTATTTAGATTGTCCTGGGACAGGGGCTGACTCTTATTGTGTGTCTGTGCAGCACCTGGCACAATGGGGCCCCAATCTTGATCAAGCATAGGCAGCCCCCAGCACAATGGGGGCCCCACTCTTGGTCAGGGTCTGTGAAGCACCTGGCACAATGCAGGCCCTAATCTTGATCAGGGTTTGTGCAGCACTCCATACAATGGGGCTCTGATTTCCGTCACCATCTGTGCTACAATGGGGCCCAAGTCTCAGTGAAGGACTGTGCAGTGCCTGGCCCAATGGAGCCCGATCTCATCGGGGCTCTGTAGGAGCTACTGCAATGCCAAAGGTAAATGCTGCTCCAACACTGAAATGGTAACCGGGGGCCCTAGCCAGGACCACGTTTTGGCGCTATGTTAGGAGGGAGGAAAAGGAGACAAGACTCGCAGCTGGAACTGCTCTGTGACGACACTTGACATTTCAACCATGCCAGGAGAGAACCTAGCCAGGGAGAACCAAACTCCCACACCACTGCCTCCTTGAACTGGTATTTTCCCAGGTTGTGATTTACCTCCGTGTCAGAGCCTGTTCGCTTGCCCAACCCTGGAATCTCCCTGAGCAGCGCTGCAGAGCACAAGGGGTTAAACTCTTTGGGCACAGAGTGTCCCAGGACCCCGGGTAACTACAGGGTGCTCGGGAGTGTTACCCAACTGTGGCCCTTTCATCACAGCCCGAACTAGTGCCAGGTCATGGGGCACATGCTGTCCTCTGAAGCAAACAGGATCGGTCCAAGTTATGAAACCAGGGTTGTTCTGACTGCATAGGGGCCCAGCGTTGGGGATGCAGGAAGCACCACGCAGCTGTGAAAAGGCCCCTTCTAAGCAAGAAGCTCTTGCTGCCCTTGGGGTGAGTAGTAAAGAAAGAGCTGATTGCTGTGAGCTGGTTACCCCTAGAGTTAAGCCTGGCTAGGATGTAGATGGGAGATCGGGTAGAGGTGTTGCAGGGAGTGGTGTAGGTTGCCTCTCCTTGGGATCAGTGCAGATGCCCCCATGTGTTGCGAGGAGGCACTGTGGTACAGGGAGTGGGGTGGGGGCTCAGTAAGGGGGCACTGTCCCCTCAGAGTCAGTGCTGGCACCAGTGTGGCATTAAGGAGCGCTGTGCTGCATGGAGCAGGGTAGGGGGCACACTCCCCTCAGCAGCAGTGCTGATACTACCAGGGCACTGTGTGGTGGGATACCCTGCTGGTTGGTGTGGCGCCCGCTGCTCTGCTGTAGTTTTTTGGCAGACACACAATGCTGTGGTTCTAACCCCTCGTGCAGATTAAAGACATTTTTCCCAAGCGCAGAAGCATTAAAAGCACCTCACTACCCAAATGCCAGCCTAGGTCAGTTCTGTCATCAGTTGCCCCTGATAGTCCCAGGTAGATCAGGGGTGGGGGCTGTCCCTCCTCTTTTACTCCCTGTCCTAAACTGATGCTTTGGCACAGTGTTAATGCTTGCTACACTCTACACCAGAAACAGGTAAATTTCAGCAAGTGGTGAGCAGTCTTTGTATAAACAGCGGTGGTGTCCCACCCCAGAGGCAGCTGAACCTAAAGGTATATGTACACCGCTGATTAAGGTGTAAGTGTAGCAAGCGTAGACATACGCCTCTAGCTTTCATATAGCTAGCACGGGTAACAACAGCAATGACGCTGTGGTGGCACAGGCATCAGCATGGGCTAGCAATCCCAGGAGAAGCCTGCCAGGGACCATGGCTACTTATCTGAGTGGCTAGCCCGAGTTGAAGTCTATGATGCCACATCTGCACGGGTGTCGTTACCTGCACCCTCTAGACTAAAGCTAGCAGCGGTATGCTCTCTTACACTAGTCACACCTTCATCTGCGGTACAGACATACCCTTGGCACTGGGTGAGTGGTCTTTGTATAAACAGCTGCCATGCCCCACCCAAGAGGCAGGTGCAAGTGAGGCTTAGGGTATGTCTACACTTAAACCATTACAGCTACAGCCGCGCCACTGTAGCGCTTCAGTGCAGAGAGTACCTGCGCCGACAGGAAGGTTCTCCCATCTGTGTAGATAATCCACCTCCCGAGAGGCAGTCGCTAGGGTAACAGAAGAATTCTTCCATCAACCTAGCGCCATCTACACCGGAGATTAGGTCAGCATAGCTGCATCTCTCTCCATGTAGTTATACAGCTGTAAGTTCCCAGTGTAAACCACCCCTTTGTCTCTCTCTGAAGGATATGACAAACCAATCCCATTTATTGGTAGAATCTGCCCCAGGCAATTACCTCTGACCTGGATGAAAAGTGGGTTTAAATTCCTGCACACACAGTGCTATTACAAAAACAGTGACACTCCACCGCTCCCACCCTGAAGAGTGAAGATGGGAGAATCCTGTGGTTTCAGGCCATGGTCACTGCAGGCATTTTCCCTTGTGCATGGCAACCGTACTGTGGTCAGCATCTCCCTTCCTGCAAAAACAGAAGAGAAAGACAAAGGAAAGTGCAGGGCCACTACTTAATGGGGAAGGAGAGCAAATAATGGCTGACACAGGGAAGGCTGAAGTGTTTAATGCCTTTTTTGATTCAGTCTTCACTAAAAAGGTTAGTTGGGACCAGATACTTAATACAGTTACTATTAAAAAGGGAGAAGGAAGAACACATTCCAGAATAGAGAAAGAACAGGTTAAAGAATATGTAGCTAAGTTAGATATATTCAAGTCAGCAGGGCCTTCTTAAATGCACCATAGGGTAGTTAAGGAACATGCTGAAGCAATCTGCAAACCAGTAGTGGTTATCTTCAAGAACTCCGGGAGAATGGGTGAAGTCCCAGAGGACTTGGGATAACACCTATCATCTTCCAAAAGGGGGGAAATGGAGGACCCGGGGAATTATAGACTCAGTCTGCCTAACTTTGATACCCAGAAAAAGATACAGGCACAAAATATTAGACAATCGGTTTGTAAGCCCCTAGAGGATAATAAGGTTATAAGGAATAGCCAATGTGGATTTGTCAAGAACAAATCATGCCAAACCAACCTAATTTCCTTCTTTGACAGGATAACTAGCCTAGGGGATAGAGGAGAAGCAGTAGATGTGATATATCTGGACTTGAGTAAGACTTCTGACAGTCCGACATGACAGTCTCAGAAGCAAACTAGGAAAATATGAAATTACTAAAAAATGGGTGCATAACTATTCAAACACTGTTCTCAAAGGGTAGTTATCAATGGTTTGCTGTAAACTGGGAGGATGTATCTATTTAATATTTCCATTCATGACTTGGATGATGCAGTAGAGAGTATGCTTATAAAAATGCAGATGACACAAAGCTGAAGGGGGTTGCTAGCACTTGGAGGACAGGATTAGAATTCAAAATTACCTTGGATGAATTCGTCTGAAATCAATAGGATGAAAGTCAATAAAAACCTGAATTGGTCTGAAATCAATAGGATGAAAGTCAATAAAAACCAAGTGCAAAACACTACACTGGGGAAGGAAAAACAAACACACAAGTACAAAATAGGAAATAACTGGCTAGGCAGCAGTACTGCAGAAAAGGAACTGGAGGGTGACATCGTGGATCTCAAGTTGAATATGATTCAAGGCTGTGATGCTGTTGCAAAAACAGCAAATGTCACGTGGGATGTAGTAACAGGAGCATTGTATGTAAGACACAGGCTGTAATTGTACTTGCTGTACTTGAGGTGAGGCCTCAACTGGAGCCCTGTGTTGTTTTGGGCACCACACTTACATGCAAAAGGTTGTTATAAAGATTAGTTGTTATCCATGTCCACATAGAGTAGGAAGAGAAGTAAGTGGATTAGATTGCAGCATGGGAGATTCAAGTTAGACTTTCTAACCCCAACAATAGGTAAGGACTAGAACACGTTACACTGGGAGCAGGCAGAATCCCCTTATTGGATAGACACCTGGCAGGGATAGTCAAGGTATACTTGATCCTGCCTCAGTGCAGGGGGATGGACCAGATCACCTTTGGGGTCCCTTCCAGTCCTACGTTGCTATGTTTCTATAAACCGCGCAAAGGGAAACAACAGGAGGGAGAGAAGGGATAGGAAAAGGGATGATATGGAGAAATACAGAGAGGCAGTTGCACATGGCAGCTTGCAAAGGCAAAAGCTCTTGCGCCCACATCCAGGAAAGACAGAGGAGGAGCTAGTGCTAGATGGGAGGGGAAGTTCAGACCCTGCAAGTAACAAGGCCCCAGGGAAGTCGTACATGACATGGGGTCTCTGAAATTGAGGCCAATAGAGGGGAGCCAACCCCAGAGCTTGCAATGAGCAGCAGAGACATGATCAGATCATGGTATGTTTTATTCAGCACATTCCCCTCCCTGCCCAATAAGATCCAGGCTAGCAGCAGTGAGAATGTTCACAGGGCGTTCACAGGGCATTACCCCCAACCCCCCAATATGTTCACAGGCCATTCTCCGCCATGCTCTCAGGCACCCCTCACAACCATCTGGTGTGGGAAAGATATGGTGAAACGGATGAGTCTGAGGGGGACACGTGTCCACTCCCCGCATAGGAGCAAGCCAGCGTCTGCCTCAAGGCTGGGCTGACTCCCCTCATATCAGCCCCTCTCACAGATGACCTCAATGACACTCTGCTCCATGGGCACAGGGTCCAGGCAGCGGTGGGCTGTGCTGCCCACGATTTCATCTAGCAGGAAGTGCACCAGGTTCTCATCGCAGACAAAGCGCCACAGGTAGAGCTGTAGATAGTAGCAGTCCACCTGGATCTGCTGCAGGCCGTAGCGCCCGAAGGTCCGCAGCCGCACGCACTCCAGGAAGGTCTTCAGGCTGATCTTGATGATGCCGGTCAGGACGGAGACCTGGGGGGTGGGTGGGGAGGTCATTCAAGCACTGTCCCCTATGGGCTTGGAGGACACAGAGGGGAAGAATCACCCCCAGAACTCCCTATGTGGCAGAAGTCTCTTGTGGAGGAATGAGGCCAGGTCTGGGCTGCACCCCCAGCCGGAGGGGCAAGGGGGTCAGTGGCAGCTAGGGAACAGGGAAGTGTGAGTGAACATGGAGTGGGTGTGTGACAGCTCTGGAGGGAAGGGTCCCCAGAGGACGGGGGAGGTGTGTGGGGAGCTCTGTTTCTCCTTTAATGCACTGGTGGTGGTGGGGGGGGGGGCACTGAAGATTAATAGAGCCTAAGGCCAGAAGAGACCACTGTGATCAGATGGAGTGAGTGTTGGGAGTTGTGTCCCTGCTCTGATGTACTGGGGGGGAGGGGAGGGGGAGAACTAGAGGACAAGCTGAGTTTAGGGGGCTCTGATCTGTGGGGGGCTCTCCCCCACCCCCAGGGTGGCAGCTCTGCTCACCTTGTTGAACTCCACGGGGCTGAAGATGTCGATGCGCTCAGAGAACAGCTTCTGAATGTTACTCAGGAGGTTAGTGTCCAGGGGGGCACTGCACGGGGAGGGGTGGGGGGAGAGGCAGAGACAAGGGGTTACACACTCACCAGCAGCCAGGAACCCCATTGCACAGCAGGGGATTGGATCTGGGCAGCCCTCCTCACCTGAGGCTGCGCCTGGGAGTGAAACACTGGGTCAAAGCCCCCCCTCCTCGGGGGTGCAGGTAGGAGCAGGCCCACCTGCCTTCGTGCAGGCCACTCACCCCAACATGTAGCTAGGACGGTAGACATCTCACTGCAGCTCTGCCAGTGCCCCTCACTTCTGACCTGCAGCCCCCTGCTATCCCAGCCCTGCAGGTGCCCCTCACCTCTGACCTGCAGCCCCCTGCTATCCCAGCCCTGCAGGTGCCCCTCACCTCTGACCTGCAGCCCCCTGCTATCTCAGCCCTGCTGGTGCCCCTCACTTCTGACCTGCAGCCCCCTGCTTTTCCAGCCCTGCACTCCCCCCGACAGTGCCCCTCAGTCCTGACCCACTCCACACCCTCTTGCAGCCCCCTGACCTGGGTGTGTAGCTGGGTGCATAGCGGCTCTGCTGCCGAGAGCTGCTGTACACAGAGAAGGTCCTCTTGCTGGAGTCGCTGCTCTGGGCTTTGCGGACGCCCTCCTCGTACAGGAGCCCCACCTGCAAGCGGGGAGGCAAGAAGCCTGGGTGAGCGCGGGGTCCCTGGGGGTACAGGAAGCCCTGGATCCTCCTTTTCCCCACTGACCTGCACGTCGATGGAGGTGGTGTCCTCTACCACCCTCTTCATGACGGCCCGCACGTTGCGTGGCTCAATGGTGTTGACCCAGTCGCGTGTCTCCACACTCTTGCGCAGCATCTGCGAGATGATCAGCCCCTGCACCTTCACGTAGTGGTTGAGCAGCCTCTGGGCCGCCTCGCGGGCCTCCGCGCACAGGCTGGTAACTGGGGTGATGGGGGAGTGGTCCTAGAGAGGGAGAACAGCAGGTCAGTAGTGCCGGACAGGGCATTTTCCCCAACACCCACTAGCTCCACGAAAGGCACTCAGGAGGGACAGGCTGCCCCCACCCTTCCCCACATGTGCCACCCAGCACCACCAGCTCCATGTGGGGTAGGGGCACTCAAGACGGCATGGGCTGCCCCCATCCTACCCTGCCCAGTGCCATCCATACATTGCTTCCCCCCAAGCTGCCCCCATCCCTGATGCTCCCCATGTCCCCACTGCCTGCAGGTGGGGATGGAATCTCACACCCACTGAAGGAGTGGGGTGGTCAGATCAGCTGGGACCTGACAGGAAACCCTGTGGCATGCAGCAGTGCTCAGGGGGTGCATGCCCACTCACTAGATCTCCCACTGCCATCCAGCCTGAATACATATATCCTATCCCTTCCCCTGGACAGACGATTCCCCAGCCCTGGGTATCCCAACCCCAGGGAACATCCCCTGGAAATTTGGCTTAGTCACCCCCCCTGGGGCCACCTCCTAACATGCTCCTCTTTGGGGCTCAAACCCCTCAGATGGAGACTGCCTCCTCCACCCCTGTCTAGGTCCATCCTACTAGCCCTTGATGGGAAAGGAGGCCTTGGGTATTGAGGGGCTTTGAATTGAACATGGGGTCCCAGGTGGAGAAGCCCCAGAGCCAGACAGACAGGGACGCCCCTCCCCGCATATTGAGGGCCTGGATCCCAGATCAGGATCTCGGGGGCGAGGGTGTGTTTCCTCCTTGCTCCCCGGTCCCAGGGGTTGGTGCCTGCCCACCTGCACTAGGAACTGCTCATCGGTCAAGGTGAGGATGTAGCTGATGGTGGAGGTCTCGTAGTCCAGACAGAGGCGGGAGAGCAGGAGCAGCAGGGCGGGGGGAGTGGAGCCACCCTTGTCCCCTGTGGTCTCACAGAACTGCCGTGCCGTCTGGCAGATGGACTTGATGAAGCCAACGATCAGGCCCTCGCGGACACCCTGGCTGCAGAACTCACCCTGGGGGATGAAATGGGGGTGGGGGGTGGGAGGGAGGGTTTAGCACTTCCTCTTGCTGCCCGGTAGAGTGGCTCCTCCTGGAGCCAGGCAGCTATCCTGACACCATCTCCCCACTCCATGTCTGCTCCCCCCCCTAGATGAGGACTGCCCATGGAATACACCCAGACAACAGACCTGGTGGGGATGTGGGTGGGGATCGAAGGGCACCAGCAGAAATGTCATAGTGGGAGGAGTCCTGGGAGCTGTGGGTTGGGATTAGGGAGAAAGATACAGGAAAAAGTTACAGGGACATAGGACTCAAAGGGACCTTTCTAGGTTACTGAGTCCAAACCCTGCTATCACAAGTAACCAGGCCATATCATCCCGGCCACAAACTCCCTTGTAAAACTAGCTGGGCTCTTTCCCCCCACTCCACCTGCTGGGAGGCTGTTCCAGACCCTTCCTCCTCTGATGGGTAGAAACCTTCTCAATTCCAGCCTCAGCTGATTCCTAGACACTTTATCCCCATTTGTTCTTGTGCCAACACTGTCCTTTAGCTTCAATAGCTCTTTCCCTCCCTGGGGTTTGCCCCTCTGCTGTATGGATAGAAAGCAGTCAGATCCCCTCCTGGCCTTCGTCTGACCAATCTAAACCAGCCCAGCTCTTTCAGTTTCCTCCCCTAAGATCAGCTCTCCTTTCTCCTCATCAGCCTAGGAACTCTTCTCTGCACATAAGCCAGTTTGAAAATCTATCTGATAGATGGGGTTTTCAGTCCACCAGACGAAGGCATAGCAAGATCCAATGGCTGGAAGTTGAAGTTAGACAAATGTAACTTTGAAATAAAGCAATTTCCTATCGGGGAGAGTGAATAAACCCTGGAACAGTTCACCAGGGAAGCCATGGGCTGGCCACCGCCTGGAGTCTTTAAAGCAAAACTAGATCTCTTTCTAAACTAGATCTCTTTCATGCTTTAATCCAGCGTTTGGGGAAAATTCTACAGCCTGGGTGCGTGGGAGAGCACTGGGTGATCACAATGGTCCCTTCTGGTTTTAGAATCTCGGGAAGTCCCACATGGTTCCTTAGTTCAGGAGACAAAGCACACAGCTGAATGGTGTATCGACATAAAAAGGCACATCTATGGTGTAGTCTCAATTGCACAAAGTCCTTGTGGGGGATGGGACATTCATAAAGGCTGCAGCTCTGAAGCCAGTTATGAAGTCAGGAAGGGCCCAGCAGCAGTCAGGAAACCCCTGCAGACTGATACAGAACAGTATCTGCATGGAACACATTATTCCAGAGGTCCCCAAACTGGGAGGCGTTCCACTCCAGGGGGCCATGGAGGAACCTTCAGGGGCGGGGGGCAGCAGAGACCAGACCAGCCCCAGGGTTGGGGAGGGAGCACCACCCAGCCCCTCCCTGCCCGCAGCTCTGGTCCCGTCCCCAGCCACATTCCCGGCCCTGTGCCTGGCCCTGGCCCCAGCCTGGGGTTGGGGTTGGGGTGGGGCTGGGAGCAGAGCAGAGCCAAGCCGCGCCTGACTGCGGGCCCGGTTGCCAGCCCCCACCACAGCCCCCTGTGGCTTCACCGCTGCCCCCAGTGCTATTATCCCCCTTATACAGATGGGGAAACCAAGGCACAGAGTGGCTAAGTGACTTGCCCAAGGTCACAGAGGAAGCCTGTGGCAGAGCAGGAAATTCAGCTTGTCTCCCAAGTCCTAGGCTAGTGCCTGAACCCCTGGACCATCCTTTTGTGTTTCCTCATCTCTACAAATGGAGCTAATGACAGCGACCGCCCTTATATACAGCTTTGAAGATGTCCTGATGAAAGGGGCTAGAAGAGCTAGGGATTGCTGAGGGGCATCAGAACTGTTGGAGGAGAAACTGAATATACCTGACTCAACCTCTAACTCCCATGGCTCACAGTCCCCTCCTCCCCCCCAGGCGGTGTCACCTTGAAGTAGGGCTTGTTGGAGAAGGTGATGTCCTTTGCTGTGAAGAGGTGGACGTAGGTGAGCACCGACTTGATCTGGTTAAGGACAGAGGCCGAGATGGTGCCCAGCAGCTCAGCCAGGTTGGGGCTCTCCTTGCCTGCCAGGCGTGGGGCAGCTAGCGACTGGCGCACATCTGTCAGACAGTCCTGGTAGAAGCTCTGCAGGGCCAGCAGGTACTGGCGGATGCGCTCCTTGGCAGCCCGCACCACAATCTCCGTGCCCTCTGCTGCCACATTGGAGGCCGGCAGCAGCTTGGCCAGGGCTTGTAGGCGCCGGTGGAAGCGGTCCAGGGCCCGCACCAGCAGTGAGTTGTCCCCAACCCCTTTCTCCAACTGGATGCGCCGCTCCACCAGGGAGAAGTATGTCTCCATGAGGGAGTTGACAAAGGCCACCAGCTTGTCCTGTGCCATGCGAGTGATGCCCTGCACCCCTTCTCGGCTGACAAAAAGCTCCTGGTAGGAGGCAATCACCAGGCACATGTTGCTGACAAAGATGTTGCAGCCACGGTCGATGAACTCCAGGACGTCAGTGATAGGGGCACCACCTGGCTGCCCCAGCTCTGCTTCTAGGGCCTCCAGCTCAGCCTCCAACCGGCAGCGGGCATGGGAAAGGAACTCGTCACACAGCTCCTCTGCTGGTTCATCCAGCTGCAGCAGCAGCTCCACGCACTCAGCCAGGTCCTTTGCCCCAGAGCCCCCGTCCCTATCAAGGAAAGGAGAGGACATTGGAAATGGCAGGGGAGCTGAGACATGGACCCCCCACTCCCAATGCACCTGCAGCAGGGTTTAAGGGATGGCTATGGGAGTTAACAACAGCATCCAGCTTCTGGACCTGGAATCCAGTCCATTTGTCTCAATTGGGGTAATAATTCTGAAACCTAATGATAGACCTCAATGTTGCTGATTTCCACCATGCCGTCACTATTTATGTTGACATTAAGTTTCAGAGTTAACAAACCGACTGAAATGAATGGGGGAAGTTGGTGATTAAGGTAATAGTTAACCTATCATCCTTTAGATCAGACCTTTGCACCCATCTACCCTGGTATCCCTCCCACTCTGGGTCAGACTAATGTAGCTGTCCCACCTCGCTCTTTGTTCACTCCCCCAACACTGGATCAGATCCAAGGGCCTGTACCTGAATTTCTCCCGCAGCTTCTGCGCCAGGTTGGCCATGATCTTCTGGCAGTCGTCCTGGATGCCCTGGAAGGAGGGCATGTGCTGGTACTGGTGCAGGATAGAGCGGGCTTTGCTGTAGTAGCGCACTGCCTGTCCATAGGCCTCCAGCTCCACACACTTGGTGAGGCGGGCAGGCAGCTCAAAGAGAAACTGCAGCTTGCGCAGGAGCGTGTGGACCCCTGGGATCCAGAGAAACCCTGTTAGAGGCAGTGCCAGCATCCCCTAGCACGCACCTCCTCCCTATGCCCTTCTCCAGCTGCTCAGGCAGGATATGGCCTGGAGCTCTTCATGGACCCTCCTACCACCCCTGCTCTATCCTGATTCTTCTGGTCACTGGGTGGTTTGCTGGGCTGCTCTTCCCCCTCCATCAGCTGCCATCTTGGCCCTAGATCAGGGAAACCAGGGTAATACTGCCTTCCCTAGCTGTGGAGAAGAGCAGCCACAGCACTGGCCAAGCAGGGGAATGAACAGTGCAGCTACAGGGCTCTCCCTCCCAGGCTTCCCTCCACACCTCATTTCTATCCTTGGAAGCCCTAGATCCACTCCTGAGTCCCTGTCTCCTGAGAAAGGACGTGGCATCTTGGCCCAGCCAAGGCAGAGGACAGCACACCTGCCACCCTCTCCCAAAATCCTCTGCTCTTGAACCTCTCATTGGATTTCCTGTGTCGAATACAACCGATGAGCTCATCTAGCCTGACATGCCTCCAGACGCCATCCCTACTACCCTGGATCAAACCAATGAGCCTATTCAGCACCGTATCCCTACCACCCCAGATCAGACCCTTGGATCTTTTCAGCTGGCTCAGAGGGCGGCTTGTGGCCAGTACCCGAGAGCTTGGTGATCTGCTCATGCTGGTCCTGCAGGGTGCTGCTGATGCGGGCGCTGAACTCCGTGATGACAGCCATGTTGGCAGCCAGGCAATCCATCTCGTCCTCCATCTTCTTGAAGTCGTTCTTCATCTTGCGGATTGTGTCTGGGGAGTAGAAGGAGGAAATCAGCCAGGCCCAAAGATTCAGCCCCAATGCTAAGGCCACATCTGGATGACTGGGATCTGGGCAGCCCTGCATGGTACCTGTGGCTGAGATGAACTTGTTGTAGTTCTCATAGACCAGGGTCTGCATGTCGCTGTCCAGGGCACGGATCTGCTTTACCATGTCAGTCTCACAGTCCATAAGCTGGGCTAGTGAGCACTCCTTCCGCAGCTAGGGAGAGTAACAGTGAGTGAGGGGCATAGCCAGGGATGCCAGCTCTGCCAGTGCCCTTCAATCCCCACCTGTTTCCCCATTATCTCAACCCTGGGCTTAGGCCTACAGTTCTGCCAATTCCCCTCAATACTGATCTGCAGCCCCTTACAATTTCAGGCCTAAACTATGTGCCCTCCCCAGCTCTGCTGGTGCACCTCAAGCCAACCTGCAGCCCCATCAATCTCAGGCCTGAACTCCCCTATTTTGCTGGTACCCCTCAATCATGACCCACAGCCCACCCAATATTGGGGAATGGAGGTGCATGGGAGGGAGCAGAAAGGAGGGCTCCCCAGGGGAGGCAGGCAATAGTCACCGGCAGGGGTTGCGATATTGAAATGGGTTTGACAGGATGGTTTCCCTGAGAGACAGGCTATAAAGTCGAGCCCTTTTGGGGAGAATCCCCAGGTGCAGTCACTGCTGTGACAGGGTTCCAGGGAGGGAAGTGTGTGTGGAGAGTGCCACTGCGGGAGCTACCCCACAGGAGTCTGGGTCCCTGGTAGAGGTAAACCAGGGACTTGAGGGGCAAACCCTAGAGAATCAGTATGGGAGGGGAGGCTCCTCGGGCAGGGCTCGGCAATCCAGGCGTGGGGGGAGTCCGACAGAGGGGTCAGTGTGTGGGGGGCTCATAGAGGAATATTGGGGGGAGGGCCTTAGTACACAGGGATCCACAGGTTTTGAGGGTCCCCCTGGGTCTGAGCACATCCAGCGTCAGGGAGCACCTTAGTGAGGAACACTTCCGGGTCGAAGTGCGCCCCATTGATGTCAGTAGGTCCCCCGGGATCCCCTCCTGGGGGCAGGCCGCCCCGAGCCTCCCCCGCCGGGTCCGGCAGCCCGTAGTAGAGCTTCAGCATCCCGTGCGGCCGCCGCTTCCCGCCCGGCGGCTCCGAGCCGGGCTCGGCCGGCCCCGGCAGGGGACCCCCCTGGGGAACCGACATCCTCCCCCGGCCGAGAGCCACACAGGTTTGTTTGGACGGGAAAAAGACACTGAGGTCACTTCCGGGATCAGTGACGTTCTGTTGAGAACCACCCCCCCCCCGCCAACGATGATGAGGTCATTTCCGGGATCAGTGAAGTTCTGTTGAGAACATTCATCCCCAATGGCGGTGAGGTCACTTCCGGAATTGGAAGCGTTCTCTTGATTTAGCAAAGTTCCCCTGTACCGACGCGTCGCCAGTGGGAAGCAGCGACGCGCTGTTTGGCAGACAATAGCCTCTAGCTCTACAATAAGCCTTTGGCGGCCGGGGGAGGGCAACTGTGACCACGACAAGAAGGTGACATTTTGAAGGTGGCATTGCAACTGAATGATATCTTGCAATGAGCCAATGACATCACAGGCGCTGCGTGGTTCCCTGAGCCTGTGGCAGTGCCCTGTCATGCTGTGACGTCAGCATGTTAGCATATGACATCATCCAGTTCCATGCACATATGAATTAATCAGACATCTACACAGCATTTCCCAGACCATTTTATGATGTCAGCACACAGGCATGATTTTATGACATATCCTGGTCCTTATTTTACCAAATTACACCTTCAAACTGGTTTGTGACATCATGCTGTTACCGTAGAATGTCTCAATTATTACAATCTATTAGTCTAGTTAATCTGTGCATCCATCCATAAATAGGGTGACCAGACAGCAAATGTGAAAAATTGGGACAGGATATGGGGGGTAATAGGAGCCTATACAAGAAAAAGACCCTAAAATCAGGACTGTCCCTATAAAATCGGGACATCTGGTCACCCTAATCCATAAATCTAACTATCCCCAGGCACACTCATCATCTAATCTATCCATCCATCCATCCCTTTCCACACCCATCTAATGCATCCAACCCATCTACCAGTCTGTGCCCTCACATACCATCTAATCTGTCCAGACATCCATCCATCCATCCCATCCCCATCTAATATTCCCATACATGCTCATTTATCCATCTATAATCTATCATGCATGGGGACAATCTAATTTGTTTATTGCTGTGATATCTAAAGTTGGGGGTAAGAGTTCATAATGATTCCCCATCCTGAATCCTCTTTTCCCCTCTCCCAGTGTTCCTCCACTCAACCTTCTGCCTGGGCCGGCTCCAGACACCAGCTTGCCAAGCAGGTGCTTGGGGCGGCCACTCTGGAGAGGGGCAGCACCTGCGGCAATTTGGCGGACGGTCCCTCACTCCCGCTCGGAGCGAAGGACCTGCCGCTGAATTGCTGCCACAAATCATGACCGCAGCTTTTTTTTTTTTTTTTTCCGCTTGGGGCGGCAAAAACCCTGGAGCCGGCCCTGCCTTCTGCAATCCCTAGCCCCTATGGATGTTCTGCAAACCCTTCTAGAACTCTCAGTTCTTTATGACCTCAGCAAGGATTCCGAACCACTCCTAGCCTGCAGTGAGGTCACGCCATCACTACAAACAGCCTCCAGCCTGCCTCCTGGAGCTATTTACTCCCTCCCAGCACCATGGTCAGCATCAAAGTTACCAAGCAGATGGTCCCTACACCTAGCATGGGATGGGGAGGTATGAGCTGGAAGGACCCCTTTGTCACAGTCACTTTCCCCAGCAAAGTAATCTTCACCAGTGCCTCCCTCCTGCTGCTGCTGGTTCACATGGGTATCTTCGGAGGAGACCTCTACCACTTCACTGTGACCCAGGAGTTCGATCTCATGAGCTTTCATGGCACCACAGTACTACTGGTAAGGGGAGTCCCCTTGCTCCTTGTGTCTTGCAGCTTGGCCTAGAGGTTAAGGCACTAGTCAGGTACTTTGGACACCTGCTTTCTACTCCTATCTCTGCCACAGACTCTGTGACCTCAGGCAAGTCACCTCATCTCTGAAGTGGAGATAACCCATCCCTACTGGACAGGGATCTACGGGCTCTGGCCACTGTCAGACCTTAGGTTCAATCCAGGTTGGCCATTTCTATATCCCTTATACATTTGAATACTGAGGGATGGCTATAGTATGAGGGCTGTGAGGAGGGCAGTATTAGGACTCTTGGGTTCTAATCTCATCTCTGGGCAGGAGTAGTAAGACATTTAGGAGGGGAGTGGGGTCTAACAGGTTAGCACCGGGGAGTGACAGATCAGGGAAGGGTCCTGACCATCTCCCTGACCATTTGCATTGGTCTCTGCAGGTATCCCATGTGATGAGCTTTTACTGGGCCTTGCTTGGAACATTTTACACTTTGGAGGCCAATGACAAGGTTCTCAGGGGGTTTGCCCTGACCTCACTGGGTAAGTAACTCCAGCCAGATGCCTGAACTGATGGGTGTTCACAGCAAGGGCAACAGGGGAAACTCAGATGAGTCTAATCAGTTTAAGTGGTTGGGGGAAGGAGCAGGAGTCAGGATTACTGGATTCTATCCTCAACTCTAGCTGAGAAGTGTGCTCCACTGGGAGCACCTTCCAAAGCCAGTTTGCATGGGGTATGGTAGCTGGGATTTAGGTTGCCCAGCTCAGGAGGTTTCTGAGCATGACTCAGAACCACACAGGGGCACAGCCTGGGGACCCGTGTGTGTGAGGGCGAATGTGTGGACTCAGTTATTCTGGGGAGGACTGCAACTGTTTATCTGCCCCTCTAGTCCAGTCGCAAAGGGAAACTCTGAACCCCATTCCCATCCCCTTGACCAGGGCTCTGGCTCTATCCCTTCTAGTGATGAACTTCGCCCTCTTCGTGGGCCGCTTCTGCCTGGACTACCTGACTATCGAATACAGGGAGGAGTTTTACTGAGCCCCAGCCTGGCCTTGTCCAAAGCAGCCCTGGAGAGAGATGCACACGCAGCATTCATCCCCAGATCTGTTGGACTTGGGAAGGGGGAGGGAAGGGGGCAGTAACACACTGCTCAGGCTGTAGCCAAAATCAAGTTTAATAACAATACAGGATATTGCTGTAGTGTTAGAGACGGTGTCATTCATTAGTCATGTCACCTTCCTGGGAGGTGGGAGCAAGGCAGTCATTACAGCCAGGATCTTTCCCCCAACACACCCAATGGGCATTCAACAACTCAGGTGACCAACCCTCAGTGGGAGCATTTGATGGCTACAGGGCTCATCTGTTCCATAGCAGTGGCCCATCACAACCCCTACCCCAACACCCTAACCATAGGGTCAAGCTAATGGACATGGGCCCGATCCAACCCTCTGGCTCACGCTGGAACCAACACAAGGGAGGGGAAGAGGTTCAGATTCCAGCCCCTTCATCCCCCACCACAAATAGCTCCCACCCATTGGTGGAAGCCTACAGGACTTATGTTCATAGCTCTCCTTTCCACTGGCAGTGGCTTGTGAGGAAGGTGATATTTTTCCTCTACTGCCTCCCCGCCTAAGTCCCATGCCACCTCCCCTACCCCAGGGCTAGCAGAGCCATTAGCAGAAAAGGGTGGGAGCTTGGGAGGTTGCAAAACAGCAGATCTGGACTAAGGCCCAGTCAAAGAGCTGGACACAGGAAAGCAGTGGAATTGGAGGCAATGGTCAGTTTTTGGGCAGGGGGCGTGGTGTGTGCTCTCTTTGGTTACTGCGGCCGCCCCATGCATTTCAAACCCTACAGGAAGAACTGTCTCCTATCAACCATTTCAATAAATAGAAGGAAAACAACTGTATTCAAAGCATGAAACCCCATCCCCACCAGAACTCTGAAAATCCACAAGCCAGGAAGTCTCTTCCCCTCCCACCCCCCATCTTTAAGCTCCAGTGCTGACCAGCATGTCCCATCCCCTCCCTAAACTCCAGAACAGGTCAATACTTCACACACACACACACACACCCCTTTCCAGTAGGGGACAGCCCAAAGCACCCATGGCGACAGCTCTGTACAGAGATGGAGGGACCAACCTTGGAATTACACCCCCCCTCACCCCCATGGGATGCAAGGAGACACCAACCACACCCCATTCTCGTTAGTAAAATAATCACACCCAAGAAGCCCAGCCAACTCCTTCCCTTTCCCCTGGTATTCTGAGATGGGAAGCGAAGGCTCCGCTCAACGGAGATGACGTTGGAGGAGGGGGTTAACGACATCTCATTCCTGCAAATAATGCTGGACATAGAGGGGTGGATCTCAGTATTTGCCCATTGAATTCTGGCAAAGTTAAGGCCCAGGTAGTTACAGATGTTAAAAATTAGAATAGGTGAAAGTAAGTTATACCTCCCCCGCCCCCTCAATATAGCTCAGTAGGAGGGGAGGGCAAATGAGGATGCAACAAGGGGCTGGTTACTGTCATTTGGTTTGAGCTGCATTTGCAAAACTAAAACGTGTGTGTGTGTGGCAGGGAGAGGGTTGGGATCCAGTGTCCATTCCATTTGAACCCCCAAAGGATGTGTGGGAGCAGAGGGATGATGGAAGATTCTGTACCACTCCCATTCCCAGCAAAGCAGAAGGGCAGTTTTATGTGTGGTCTGTGGGTGGGGCTGCAATCCTGCCCCATCCCCAGGCAGGAAAGGAGGTTTCTGTTGGAACAGGCTTCCCCCAAAAGTCCCAGCAGCTGGCTGTGTCAAACAGATCAGCTGTCTCCCATCAAGTTGAGACCAGGAAAATAATTACATCTCCCTCCTCGGGGCAAAGGGGTTTTGGGGACAAGGGTGAATAAAGCACAAGGTGGCTTAACGTAGCAGATGGGCTTAGAATCAGAGAGCTCTGCAGTGTTTTGAGGCTAGAGGAATTGGTCCATCAAATATGGGATGGGTTTTACAAAGCACCTCTGAGGAAGCAGAGGCTGCCCAGGATTAGAGAATGGGAAAGGGGAACAAAAGAGCCCTGAACCCTTTCAAACACCTGCATTCAGACAATTGTGTTCTCACTCACTGAGACATACTGGGTTGGCAAGTTCCAAGTGATGGACAGTTGAGAGGCTCCTAGGGGAAGGGCATTCAAGCCCAGGGTTTAAGGAGCCAGATACCAGTTTCAGGGGGGCACGGCTGTAATGCCATGGAGTTCACGCTTCCAAGAAGGTGCGGGACGTTTGCCCTTCAGTGCTGCCACCACCCAGCTTTTTTGCAGGCAGGAATGGAAATGCCCAATTTCCCTGCACACACACCACCAGCAGCATGGCTAGTTACAGAGTGGAGAAACTGAGGCATGGGGCTGGGAAGTGACTCACCTGAGACTGAACAACAGGGTCAGCAGCAGTGGGAACAGAACTCAGGAATCCTGGCTCCCCATCTCCCTGCTCTGACCAATAAATCCTTGTGGGCTGGCAACAGAACCCAGGAGTCCAGGCTTCCATTCCTGCGCTGCCTCTCACTTGCCCCAGTCCTTGGACACACTCGCACTAGCAGCACAAGCCCTCCCCGATCACCAGACGCTTTCCTCTTGCCTGGCCCATTCCAAAGCTGAACAGCTACAGTGGAAAGGATTCTCAGCTGGAGCACTTCGCGACCAGAGGGCTCATTCCAGCCCATCTCGGGGGCCCCAATCCACAGCTGTACAAGCCTCCCCTTTCCTCCCAATCCTGCTCTGCCCACCCCACCTAGAGATTTATTTGAGTCTCGTTTTTAAAAGAGGCCAAAGTCACTTCACACACCCCCTCATCAGTTTCATGTTTTGACTCTCAGCTGAGCTGACCCAGCAGTGTCCTGGCTGGGGGCTTCCCCTTGTACTCCCCCCAGAGCCCCACTTGCAGCTGCCAGTCCCCAGCATCCCTGCCTTGGCAGGCCATTCTTGGTGCCCAGGGAGGAGCCACCAGCTCAGTTCATTCCTGGCCCACCCGGATGTGGGGGTTGAACATGGGGTCCAGGTTGGGGTCATTGTCGGCCGAGGCCCGGCCCAGCTTTGACATGATGATGATCAGGGTTAGGAAGCCGATGCCGCCAATCAGGAGGATGATGACAAACCGCTGCATCAGGGATCTTGGCTGCCGCTTCTTGGACCCAGAGCGATTCCTGCCAGGGGGACTTGTTATTAGCATGACAGTAGCAGTGCCCAGAGGCCCAAAGCAAGATCAGGGGCACATCTGGGCATGTGCATCATTAGCAGTATTATGGTAGCGCCTAGAGACCACAAATAAGATTGGGGGCACATTAGCAGTATTATGGTAATACCTACAGGCTCCAACCGAGATTGCGGCCCTATCATGCATGTGCACTGGTTTCCTCCCACCCCACCACCGACCACTTACTTCAGAAGTTGCGCGAACCAACTGAGCGTTGGCCGCCGGCGGTACTTGTCCTCATCACAGTCGATTTGGGTGCCGGATGCCCTGCTGCCGCCCCCACCCTCCCGGGTGTCGTAGACCTTCCGTGGTGTAGAGGCTGCTGGGGAGATGGGGAGTGTAGGAGCTTAGCAGAGAGCCATTGGCACCAGGAAAGGAGGTGGGGGGGGGGGAATACAGGCACTCCCCTAGCCCTATTGTCCCCCCTTCCACCACAGCTAGGCAATCCATACACCAGTTCTTCCCCAGCCCTGTTGGCTGTGGTTGATCCAGAATCCTTTGACCCTGGGTTATCTTGACCTCTAAGTGGGCTCCTGATCCATACAGGAGTGAATGGAAATAGCCTAAGGGACATGACACACACAACTGCTACCCCACTCAGAAGGTAGCCAATGGGTCCTCACTTCTTAGGGGCTGTGTCCCACTGACTCATAATCCCCCACCGTCGCAGGGGAGGACAACTACGCTGCTAACCTGCATTGATGGTGATGGTCTCGTTGCTAGCATTCCCCATGTCGATGACTGAATGCTCCTCCTTCACGCCCCCATTGTTCACACCCTGCTGCTGCTGTGGGGAAGAGAGGCCGGGCGGAGCACTGTAGGAATAGGCCGACAGGGCACTTTGCTGGATGGTCTCCTCTGAGTTGGGGCCTGCAGTTGCTGCCAAGAAAGGAGGGAACAAAGTGAATCCTGTGTGGAATGGGGCAGCCTAAGACAGCTGGCTTCCATCTACAAAGCCAGGACAGCAAACTGTGACCCACTTGCTCCATGGATCTGTGTGTCAGGGGCCTAACTAGAACTGATGCCCTTGAACTGAAAGGTCTCATATCCCATTCCTTGATCCCTGAAAGCCAGCCAGTCTTCCCCTCCCATCACTTTAGAAGAGACAGCAGATGAAATTGGACCCCTTGGTCTCATCCCAGGCAGCAGGAAGGTGGGGACTCTGGGCTAGACATGCCCATTGTTCTCAGCCAATGTGGAAGGAGGGGATAGCAAACTAGGTGAGCTGGAGCCGGTTTGCGCAAACCGGTTGTTAAATTTAGAAGCCAGTTTAGAACCAGTTGTTAAAGGTGTGGGCAATTGGGAGAGGGAGGTTTTTCTGTTGTTACACCGGCCCGCGGGCCACATCCAGCCCGTGGGACTGTCCTGTCCGGCCCGCCTGAGCTCCCGGATGGGGAGGCTCCCCCAACCCCTCCCCCTTCTCGCAGAGCCTCAGTGTGCCGTGCCGCCAGTGCTCTGGACCACTCCTGGGCAGCTCTGCAGCTCCTGCCGCTTTGAGCGGCATGGTAAGGGGTGGGGCTGCGAGCTCCAGCGGGCCGCGCAGCATCCATACACGCTGCCCTGAGCAGCATGGTAAGGGGGCCGGACTGGGGCTGGGAGGAGGGGTTGGATAAGGGGCAGGGAGTGGTTGGAGAGGGTGGAGGTTCTGGGGGGGCAGTCAGGGGACCGGGGGGGGCGGGGGGTTTGGGTAGGCGGGGGAGTTCTGGGGGTCTGTCAGGGTGACGGTGGATTGGGGGTCGGGGCAATCGGGGACAGGGAGCGGGGCGAGTTGGGTAGGGGGTGGAGTCTGGGGGGGGGCAGTTAGGGTAGGGGGTCTCGGGAGGTAGTGGTCAGGGGACAAGGAGTAGGGGGAGTTGATGGGTTGCGGGTTCTGAGGGGGGCAGTCGGGGGCA